AGTGGGTGTGGTTTGGGCTTTGCTTCTGTGAAGACTGACAGCCTTGGAAACCCTGTGGGGCAGTTCCACTCTGTCCTCTAGGGGCGCTGTGGGTCAGAATAGACTCCACAGCAGTGGGTGTGGTTTGGGCTTTGCTTCTGTGAAGACTGACAGCCTGGGAAACCCTATGGGGCAGTTCCACTCTGTCCTCTAGGGGCGCTGTGAGTCAGAATAGACTCCACAGCAGTGGGTGTGGTTTGGGCTCTGCTTCTATAAAGATTGACAGCCTTGGAAACCCTGTGGGGCAGTTCCACTCTGTCCTCTAGGGGCGCTGTGGGTCAGAACTGATTTGATGACAGTGGCTTTTCTGATGACTGCTGTTACCATGTCAGGCTAAGATGTAACCACAGCTGCTGCCTGCTTTACTCTCAGTTGCTGCCTTTTGAGCAGTCATGCTAATGAGGCCAGTGCCACCTCCAGCTCCATGGCTGTCCTTGGACTCAGTGCTCCCAGGCCTCCAGAGAAAACAGAACTACTGGTGGTATTTTTCAACATGTTGTGACAAAACACTCAAGTTTAACTTCTTTAAAAATTAAATTCCTAAAACGTGTACAAACTGTCGAATGTAAAATGAGTCTGCTTGGTAAAACTTCACCCAAATCACAATCGAAAGCTAAAAAAAAAAAAAAGGCATGAAACAAAAGAAACAACAACAAAAACCCAGAGCTACTGGACTGGTTGAGACTCAAGCACCCCTCAAGACTATGGTCCTCTGGTGGTGTAGTGCCTAAAGCATTTGACTGCTAACCAGGAGGTTGGCGGTTCAAAGCAACCAGCCAGTCTGCAAAAGGAAGACAGGGCAATCTACTTCCATAAAGATTTACTGCCTTGGAAACCCAATGGGGGTTGCTATGAGTAAGAACTGACTCAGTGGGAGTAGGTTTGGCTTTTGGTTTGATAGCTTCAAACCCTGAACCCACACTAGCCTAAGGTTTCCTTGTAGCTAAGTGACAGACAGGCTCACAAAAGAATGAGGCTCACCTGTAAGTACTGGGCTCCTTGACAAAATCACCTCTATGAGACCAAAGGGTCTACAATAACTAAACAAAGATGAGAAGGTAAGGAGACTAGATGGATGGAAACAGAACAACCAGAAAGGAAACAGCAAGAATGTTCACACTACAACGTGGAACACAACTCACAATCATTAAAAAAAAAAAAAGGACCAGGTTTGTTGGTCTGATAGAGCCTGATGGAACCCCTGAGACTACGGCCCCCAGCTGCCCTTCAGGTCTGGAATTGAATCCACTCCTGTAGCTTCCAGCCAAACAAAAGACAAGCACATGAGCTGAACATTAGCAATATTTAGATCCACTCCTTGGAGAGATCAATCCTGGGAGAAAAGAAGGGCTGTGTTTGCACAGGGAGACAGCTCAGGGGGCAGGAGTGCATGGAGGGATGGACACAGGGAAGAGGTAACTGTGGGGAGGAAATGGGAAGAGAGCTGCTGCATTGTGGGAAATTGCAGTCAATGTCATGAGACAAAGTGTATGTGAACTGCTGTATGGAAGATGAATAGAGCAAATTCATTGCAAAAGTGTAAACTTTCACCCAGATCACAATAAAAAAAAAAAAAAAAATTCACACACTGTGAAGAATGTCACCGAACAATCTGTGTAGAAATTGTTGAATGGGAGCCTGAACTGTGGGGTAAACCTTCGTCGAAAATGCAGTAAAATATCACTAAATCAATAAATAAGGCCATAATAATCCAAACAGTCTGGTATATCATTAAACAAATAAATAAAACCAGAGTAATCAAAACAGCCTGGTACGGGGGGGGGGAAACTAAAGATATGAAATGTGAGTGCCACCCTTTACCTCCATCCAACTGACTGGCAGACAGCAGCCCATTGGCTTCCTCGTACTTTGTGAGCAGCCGCCAGAATATGGATTCCTCCTTAGAGTCCAGCTTAGCCACTGCGGTTCTTAACCCTTCCAAGTGCACCAGCGTGGACAGGATACAGTCCAACCAACAGAGAGAATACGCGTTCTTCCACTGGACACAGGCAGTCGGGCCAAAGGACAGGCTGCTGCGCTCCGATGGCAGCTCCAGTTCCAAGGCGCGGCCTTCACTTTCCGGGGCCGTCCCCCTGGTTCCAGAGACGTCAGCTGCAGCATCCTCCCCCGCAGAGTCACCGACGGCAGCCTGCAAACGCTGCACGGCGTCAGCTGTCCCGCCGGGAACCTGTGGGCCGCCTCGTGGTGAGGCAGGTGAGCCCGATGAGGCCCCATCAGAACCCTCTCCACCGAGTTCACGGCTCAAGGGCCGCTCGCCACCAGTGACGATGTGGTGCTTAGCCCTTTTGGAATCTGCTAGCGGAGGCGAGTCTTCACAGCTGGCTGCGGAGACCTTCCTTTTGCGAGGCTTATTTGGAGTGTGGCAATCTTCCGGGTCAGGAGAGAGTAAGTGTGCGAGGGACTTAGAGCCCAAAGGGTAGATGCACTACAAAGAAAAGATAAAATGACGGAGACGAAAAAACAAATTTGAAAATCAAATTCCAATGAGCTCAAGCTGTACAATACACCGTCTACGTCACGGAAAATAAGTATAGAATATTGGCATGGATTTCAGCACGAGAGGGTAGAATATTAGTCAATCTAAATTTGAAGGAACTACAGACAAATGATTACTCAAAACTTATTGAAAACTTTGCCCCCAAAAGAATACTTTCCTCGTTAATGTGTAAAATCAAAACTTTAACCTGAGCCCCTCTAGGTTAAGTTGGGGGGGAGGAGGACATACGTCATTTTGCTTTAATAATAATAAAAAAAATTCAATGTTGAACAAATTTAACAAATTTCTACAAAACTCTGATGACCATGTGGCTCTTTTGGACAGAGACCACTACAGGGAATACTGAAAACTAGACACACAGTTTCCAATGTTAAAAACTGCATGGAGTAATCTATTTCCTATATATTGAAGTTAGGTATTAGTATGCGAGAAGTGTTATTTGGCATTTTTATCGGATTTCAAGTCAAATTGCTTGCATTTTAATGACCTCATCATATCTCACTGCATTAACACAATTTCAACCATAAACCCTCCTACCTGACCAAAGATGCATAGAAATTATCAGTGAATTTCCTTAAGTTTGAAAACCGACAAAATATTTCTGAAGGCAAGTTCAAGAGATTGGTATGCTAAATGCCGTCATTTAAAATATGCCTTCCAAAGGGTATTTCTACATACGTATTTGTATGTGTTGTAAGAATGTCCATATAAATTGAACTAACGGGGCAAAGTTATGATAATTTCTTAGCCACAGTCAATCATGCCCTGATGGAGTGAGTTGTTGGACCTGTGGGCTTGGGACCATGGTTGCGGGAAATATCAAGTTCAACTGGCATAACATATACATCCTACTTTGGTTAGTACCAACTAGGTCTTTAAAGCTTCCATGTGGCAGTCTACATGCAACAATGGGTCTCTCCTCGTCTGGAGCAAAGAAGAATGAAGAAAACCAAAGATGTACAGAAACAATTAGTCCAAGGGACTAGTGGACCATGTGAACCTCTGCCTACATGATCGTGAGACCAGAAGAACTAGATGGTGCCTGGCTACCACTGTCAACTGCTCGCAAAGGGATCAGTGCAGGAGATACGAGATAGAGTGGGAAAACAGTATGGAACAAAACTCAAAATCATAAAAAAGGCTAGGCTTACTGGTCTTTAAGAACCTGGTGAAACCACCGAGACTATGGCCCCTAGTCACCCTTCAGGTCTGGAACTGCACCCACTCCTGTGGCTTCCAGACAAACAGTAGACAGGCACGTAGAGCCAACACTGACATCAGGTAGATACACTGCTCAGAATGACCCATCCTGGGAGAACAGAAGGGCAGTATTTGCACAGGAAGACAGCTCAGGGGGGCAGGAATGCACAGGAAGGGACACAGGGAAGAGGTAACCACAGGGAAGAAATGGAGCAGTTACATTTTGGGGATTGCAATGTCATGAAACAAAATGTGCAGGAACTGCTGTATGGAAAATGAATTTGCACTGTATACATTCACCCAAATCACAATAAAATTTAATAAATAAATGAATAAAATATGCCTTCTTCCACATAAGAACGGCAGACTGCTCTGGCTGGCCTCCACTGAACGACAGAACTACACACTGGTGTTCATGCTCTTGTCCCGTGGCACTCAGACGTTGAGCTGGGCCATGTGACCAGCTGTGGCGAATGGGGCCGTAGCAAACAGGATGCCCGGGGGGCCTGCTAAGCATCTGCTCACTGGGACTCCTCTGCTTAGAAGCCTCTCTCTGCAGACACTCATCTTCGTCCTGGCCACCACACCACAAGGATCCCATCAGTCTCATGCCAAGAACCTCACGGGAAAGAACCGAGACCCCTGGCTGACTGCCTGAACTGCCACCCTAACACTAATTATCAGTCACACGCACACTGCAGCCGTCCCAGATGACAGCATGTCAAGTGCAAGAGCCGTCTGGTCAACCCACAGGATCACGAGAAACTATAAAACAAAGCCACCGAGTTTGGAGGTGATTTGTTCCATAGCAAAAGCAGAGAGCTGAAGGGGACTAAAGCTCCTCACTTAAATGAACAGCTTCTTCCAAACACCATGTATATGAAACAAGAAACCAAACTCACTGCTGTGGAGTCAATTCGACTCATAGCAACCCCTCCTTGGGTTTCCGGGGCAGGATCTCTACAGAAGCAGATTGCCCAGTCTTCCTTCTGAGGAGTGGTGGTGGGTTTGAACCTGCTAGCCTTCTGGTTAGCAGTCAGATGCCTTAGGCACTACGTCACCAGAGCTCCCATACAATGTGTATAGTGTTCACTATGCTCATAAACTAGGAGTAGGGGAGAACACACTCAGCTTTCTCAAGCTGAAAGAAGTGAGGAAAACATTTAAGTCTCAAGTTGAAATACTGAAAGATTCTATGGGCAAAATATTGAATGATGCAGGAAGCATCAAAAGAAGATGGCAGGAATACACAGAGTCACTGTACCAAAAAGAAC